ATTACATAACAGCTTTTTTTTAATCTAAAAAACATATGATTCACAATAATGTGCTTTGTGTTTTTCCTAAATCATGCAGTGTTCTGCATTTTTTAAATTTCTAAGTTTATTTTTAGAAGGAATACATCTGCTAGTAGTAAGAAAAATACGTATTAACAAAAATCAAAACAAACCAAAAACCCTCAGTCATATAAACTCACCCAACAACAACAATAAAAACTATTGTTCATATCTGTGTGTACATACTTGCAGAAAACTAGTTGAACACAGATATCCATACAAATAGATCTGTTATTCATAAAACAGAAGCATATCATAATACTATTTTTCAAACTTTTATTCACATTTAATAATAAATCATGAGCATTTTTCCTTGACAAGAAGTTTGCTTTCAGAAAAGTGAGCTTTGTTTTTAGTGATGGTGTAGTGTGCATATGGCTGGAACAGGACATAGCTTATCCTTTTCTTGAGCATTTAGATTTAATGCTGAAATGAACATGCTTTCAATGAAATATTTGTGCACATTCTAAATCATTTCATTAACATAAGCTTCTATAGTAGATTAGTTAGGTTTATGTTGTACACTAAATTTTACAACTTTTGATAGGTATTATCAAATTTCCCTCCAAGAAGTCAGAAATCTTGTATAAGAGAATATTTTGTAGTTTTATTAATAATGGTTCATTGTCTTAAATAAAGATGTCTAACATGTTAATTTACCCCAAAATTCCTGAAGGAGAATATAATAAAGGCAGAGAAGCATTTTGGTGTAAAAATTGCTTGCCTTACATGACTATTACTATTTCATAAACATCTACCTCAAAAGTCATGAATGGCCTGGCCAGTGTGGCTCAGTTGGTTGAGCATCAATCCATGTACCAAGAAGTCACTGGGTCAATTCCCCAGGGGCATATGCTCAGGTTGCATGCTCCATCCCCAAGTGGGGGAGATCATGTGTAAGAGGCAGCCAATTAATATTGATATTTCTCCCTCATCAATTTTTCTATCTCTTCCTTTCTTCCTCTCTCTCTGAAAAATAAAAACACTTTTTTTAAAAAAGTCATGAATGCATACACAAGTTTCACTATCTGGAGAAGGGGGTTCATTTTAAACATTTATGATAGCATGCCCTAAAAGTTTAAGATTTGGTTAATCATGAAAATTTCCATATTTTAATGAGTACATTAGCATATGGTTTTTATCACCATGAAATAAAAATATTCTATCCAATTCTTTTTATGAAAATGTTCATGTTGTGTATGTGATATTTAGTTTCCTTGAGGGGACAAAGTTCTCAAGTAAGTGAGAATTGTTTTTCTGCAAAGAACTGCTTTTGAGTTGGATAAAACTGATCCAACATTCTCCTTATATCTGTATTAAATGCAACTGTGAAAAAATATATCTGAAAACCACATGTATATTCGATGTTGTAGCAAAGGGAAATGTTTGTACTCCCAAATGCAATAGATTGAATATTATCGTTTAGATTTGAAATTTAGACACTTTAAATGTATACTTTCCATTTATGGAAACAAACAAGTGTTTAGAAAACAAAACAAAAATCAAGAAAAACCATATAATTTAACATAAAGTATACATTTTACTGTATATTATTATTGATAACATTCATGCATATATGTGTCTATGAGAAAACAACCTTTAAAATTATGATCACATATATTTTCAGAGTATATGAATGCACACACACACACACACACACACACACACACACACACTAGAGACCTGATGCACGAAATTTGTGCAAGGGCTTGGCCCTCACAGCCATGGTGGCTGGCTTGCCTCGGCCCTCGCAGCCCCGCTTCATACGGAAGGTCACCCAGAAGGTCATTCTGTTGCCCGGTCTAATTAGTGTATTATACTTTTATTATTATAGATTTGTAGTATTTCAGAACCATGCAATTTTCCAGAGTTGTCAGTCCTTTCAATTATTCAACTAACAGAAACAAGAAATGAAATTACATTTATGTTGGTTTGAAATCCAGTGGAAGAAAATGGATTCAACATCATCAATTTTCTTCTAGAATTGTCAAAGTCGCCATTATTAATTCAAACTTTGCATGTACGCTGATAATGCTTTGCATATAAAAAGCAGATGTCATGTTAAAGCATGCCAAACTCTATAAGCTTGGCAATGTAGTGCACTCTAGTCTAGGTTATGCTGTGGCTAACAACCAATTCTAGTATCTCATTTTTTTTAACAAAACCAAATTTATTTTTTCTTCCTGTTACAAGTTCAAAGTGGGCCATCAAGATCTCTGTTCCATACCTCATTCAAATACTCAGTAATTTTAAACTGAAAGTTTGATCTAAAGACTTGATTATATTCAGGTTTAACAGCTTAGCAATAACATTTTTATAAATGGTGCTTTATAATTCAGATTTCAGTATATCTGGAAGCCAACTGTTCATCATACATTAAGTGATGCTAAATTTGATCATCGTATCAATAGACATAGAGCAAGACTAATCTTTCCTTTTTTTCCCCAAATAGATCTGAAATCAACTTGTAATTGAATCAGTTACCTCATTATGGTTTGCAAAGCTGCAATTTTTCTAATTCTATTGTTCTATGTTTATTGGCTGGAAAACTTTTGTAAAGAAGAACTTCTCATCAAATATAGATTATTTTTCCAGCTTTGTTGAGCTGTAAGTGACTTATAACATTGTGTAAATTTAAGTTTGCAGTGTTGGTTGTGTGATACACATATTCACACACAATGGAATATTATTCAGCCATGAGAAAGAAGGAAATTGTGTTATTTGTGACAACATGGATGAACCTTGAAGGCATGATGCTAAATGAAATCAATCAGACAGAGAAAGACAAGTACTGCATGATCTCACTGACATGTGGAATCTAAAGAACCAAACTCATGGAAACAAAGTGTAGAATGATATTGTCAGGGCTGTGGGAAAAATGAGGGAGATGTACACACCTCCAGCTCTAAGATCAACATATTCTGAGGATGTGATGTATGTCATAGTAACTATAGTAAACAATATCATGTTATATACTTGAAAATTTCTGAGAGAGTAGATTTTAAATGTTCTCATCTCTCTCTCTCTCTCTCTCTCTCTCTCTCTCTCACACACACACACACACACACACACACACGTAATTAGGTGAGGTGATGGAGGTGTTCCTATCTAGGGCTCTTTAAATGTCAAGAATGTCAGTTTGTGCAGAGTTAAGAAATAATAGTTCCTTAATTCTTTCCCTTTTATTGCCAGTTTGCAGAGTAAAGACTTGGTGTCCTCTTTACAGCTAATGGTAATATTTTTTTTTCTTGTTTGTACATTTGTACTTTGGAACAGAGGGTCAGAGGAGAGAGAAAGGAAGAATAAAGTGCATGAATAGGCAAGGCTATACATATTTGGCGTTGTTGTTATCATTTCTCTACTTAGTATAGAGCTCAACTCATTCTCATATTTTTATCTATTTCTTTCAGAAATTTTCTGTACATATTTAAAGATATATTTTTATTGATATTAATCTGTATAATAAGATAAGTTGAGCACCTTTAGTAATTAATTAGAATTGGGACACGATTTTTAAATTCAGCAGTTGAGGATAAGCTAGACTAACAACTATAAATGCATGTTGTTATAGAACAATGAATGAAAATAATACATTAAATAATTAGCCATATTTTCAATGTACTTATTATTGTCAAATCAAGTTAACCTTAGAAGTGCATAATTAGTCCAAGTCTGCCTTCTATTTACCCATTGAATAGATGTATAGAAGGTAGTATATAAAGTGACACATACTTCAAGATTGTGATTTCTGTACAGTCTATATGGAGAGTATAGGTGTTA